AAAAAAAAAAAAAAAAAAAAAAAAAAAAAGATATTTATCATTTACAATCACCTTCTTTACCAACATTTTAGGAAAGTAGTCATCACTCACAATCGTAAGATAAGAGCTTTTTACTGTACTTTATTCCAGCTGGGATCTGGTGACAGGTACACAATATATGGCAAAGGATGGTTTTACTGAAAAGTTAATTCTGAAATGGTCAAACTGTTGGTTTACTACTTTTCTCATTTCCACATGGAATGACTATATGCTAACGTCTTTGCAAAAAAAAAAAAAATCATAAAATGTTTTTATGAAAACACTTTCCAAATACAGGTAAATTTAACAGTCCTGTCATGTCCACAGAAATTTAAACTAAGAGTCACAAAAATTTTGTTTTAATTACCTGTAGGTCCGTTGGGCTAGTGCTTCTGCACATACCTGCCAGGCATCTGGGGAAATCTTTAACTGTTCAAAATAAGCCAGGGCCTATAAGATTGCGAAACAAAAAAATGCATTCAGTATAAACAATCTCAATGCCCTGCTAATACTAAACAAAATATTCTGAGAGTTGCAAACCTAATAACAAATCAGTAAACTTAATAGGAAAACAGCTAAAATATTAAATGCAGGCTTACAAACATTTGCAATTTAGGGGCCATTCCTAAAAATAGGTTAAACAAATATAAATTCCATCAGTTAGATAATCAAACCTGTTTTCTTACAGCAGCAACATAAAAATGCCCCACAGACTTCACTGAGTTATGATGAAGAATGAGAGCCAAGTGCTTTGTCAAATGCCAGACTACTGAGAAACTGTAGAGGATGGGTTATGGGTGTAATCATTTTACAATATGCAATTATAATAAAATGGCATGTGAAGGGCACTTTTCCTATTTAATAGCACATCTGCTATGAAAGGGGTGATTATAAAAGATAAAACACACTGTGTACCTTATCTGACCTACTATTATACAGAAGAGTACTTCAAGTCTTTAATTGTATCATGTAAGTTACCTAAAGAGATTAAAATTGGAATACAAGTTCATGATATGAATTTCGAAAAATATTAAATAACTGAAAAGGTCAAAGCTTGAAGAAGTTTCTTATCTCTACGCTTAAGAATTCAGGGCCTCGTAATGAGAAGTAACAGTAGCAACAAAGAGTAAGAGTATTCTAGAATGGATGCAGCACCAGGTCCATATGCTCTCTACCCAACTGTTGGGAAAACAGGAGTTACTTCAGGCACTCTTCCCATCAGCATGTTGCATCAGATGCAGGTTTCACACATGGCAATGGACAAATAGTAGTGAACATTTTGTGAAAAGCACCTCCAACAGAGAAGAAAATTGCACATAAATTGGAAACACTGCTAGATGATTTGATAGCAATTATGCACTGATACAAAACCTGACATAAGGTAAAAGGAACATTAGCATTAGAGGGACCTAATTTCAATTGGTGAATATTTTTATAACGGTGGTGTCTCCCACCAGTGATGAAATCAATTTATGAGTCCTGAACAATAATTTAAAAAATGAAATAGAGAATATTAGATATTCCACACTGTACCTAGCAAGAATATTATTTTCTGTAACTTATTTATGTGTACACATACATATAAATATACATACACACTGGGTCGTCAAGATGTAAAATTATTTTTTTCTTTGGGTTAGAGATCAAAGCCACTGTATTTATATTTAGATGATCGTTTCCTATACTATGCAATTGTATGAATAAGGGACTGGGTTTTCATACATGGTCTCAATGGCTGCCCCTACTGACAGAAGACCAGGTAAATGAAGGCGATTAGATGAAGACCATCAAATATAATATTAAATAGGCAGTGTAACAAAAAAATACATTTGGACTTTGCAGTGGGTTGCTGGCACAGAGCTCTTAACTTAGAGTTTCCTGAGTGACAGGACTGTCTTTTGTCATTTATAATGAGCCTCTTTAGGCCAGGCACAGCAGTTCACACCTATAATCCCAACACTCTGGGAGGCCAAGATGGGAGGATCACTTGAGGCCAGCAGTTCAAGACCAGCCTGGGCAACGTAGTGGACCCCTGTCCCTACAAAAAAATTTAAAAATTAGCCAGGAACAGTGACATGCACCTGTAGTCCCAACTGCTTGGGAAGCTGAAGTGAAAGCATGACTGAGGCTGCAAGGTCAACAGAGTGTATGTTAATGAGGTAACTTGATGCAGGAACCCTAGATAGCCTAAAGATAGGGCTGGGTACCAGAAAGAGCAAGTGATTAGAGGGTTGGAACTTTTAGCCCTAACCACCAACCTCTGGGAAGGGGAGAGGGGACTGAAGATTAAACTCTATAAAAACTCTTGAAGTTCCAGGTTGGCGAACACACTGAGATGCTGAGAGGGTAGTGTTCCTAGAGAGGGCACAAAATCTCTATGCCCCTTCCCCGATACTTTGCCCTATGCACTGCTTCCATGTGGCTGCTCATAAATACACCTTTATTGTAAAGGTGTATCCTTTACAATAAATTGTAAGTGAAGTGTTTTTCTAAGTTCTGTGGGCTTCTCCGACAAATAATCAAACTCAAGGAGGGAGTTGTAGGAGCAGAAATATGAGAAGTTCTAGACTCAATTGGTGTCTTAAGTGGGGGTGGTTTGTAAGACTGAACCCTTAACTTGTGGGATGTGATGCTAACTCCTGGTAGTGTCAGAAGTGAAATTATTTGTAGGACACTCGGTTGGTGTCCTCAGAATCAGAGAGTTGGTTGTTGGTATTGGAAAACAGCCCAGAGTAAATAATGGGTCTCTTTAGAAGTTAAGACAATAAGAACACAGGCAGCTATAAAAGATACTACCAGTTGATATTCTTGTATCAGTGAATTGACGAAAAAAAAAAAACAAAAAATTAAACAAAAAAAAAAGATACTACCAGCTTAGTTGCTTCTAACAGCAGTCCGTGAAACCTAGGGTTTCCTTTAGGAATATCTCAGAGGTTAGCCAGGCATGGTGGCACGCGCCTGTAGTCCCAGCTACTCGGGAGGCAGAGGCAGGAGAATCGCTTGAACCCAGGAGGCGGAGGTTGCAGTGAGCCGAGATTGAGCCATTGCACTCCAGCCTGGGTAACAAGAGCGAAACTCCATCTCAAAAAAAAAAAGAAAAAAAAAAGGAATATCTCAGAGGCCAGAGGACAAGGTAGAGGTTAATCATGTATGTTGCATTACCGCCTAATATTTCACTTACAAAGGAGGGGAGAGGTGGTTTCAGCTGCTAGAATTGCCATGACATACCACTTTCTTTAAATAATAGCAGGTTTTAAGCCAAAGACAAGCATTTTATTTTATTTTTATTTTTACTTTTGTTTTGAGACGGAGTTTTGTTCTTGTTGCCCAGGCTAGAGTACAACGGCGCGGCCTCGGCTTGCTGTAACCTCCACCTCCCGGGTTCAAGCAATTCTCCTGCCTCAGACTCCCGAGTAGCTGAGATTACAGGCATGAGCCACCATGCCCAGCTAATTTTGTATTTTTGGTAGAGACGGGTTTCTCCATGTTGGTCAGGCTGGTCTCAACTCAAACTCCTGACCTCAGGTGATCCGCCTGCTTTGGTCTCCCAAAGTGTTGAGATTACCACACCTGGCCAAGCGTTGTATTTTTTTAAAAAGTGGGAGAGGAAAGATAACCTGAAAAGTTTTTAGTTTTTAACCAACGCCTTTGTACTCTAAATGTATGCATTACTAAACCACATTGAAGAACAAGTCCTAGCTTTCATCACCTATTTCTACCCCATACCTTTTTTCTAATGGTTTATTGAGTCTATGTGACAAGTCAGTTCAACTGTATTGCCCAGTAAAAAAGAGAATTACAGATAGACAACTGAGCAACTGGGGGTTGGCAGACAGTCATTCTGCTCACCACCAAACTGAATCAAGTTTCTACTACTCCCGAACTGGCAACAAAAGGGCTTTGAGATTCACTTTTCTTAAGATTTCTTCCCTTTTCATTCGAATAAATTGCTATTCAGATTGGCCAAATGGGATATCAAATTATGCCTGGACCTGGATGCTTAAAACATGTCTGTGACAGAACCCATTTTTATTGATAAAAAACACAACTTCTGTATTAAATCCACTAACAATGTATTGGTTTAACTTTTCTGAAAAAGAAATCATGGCACATAGTAAAAAAAATTGGATGCTTTGAAAAAATCTCCCAGAAAAAAAAAAAAACAACTGGATGCTGGAACTTAAGAAATAAAAAATTTCAAGAGGCACATAAAAAATAACAGCAAAGGCCATCTAACAACTAAACATATAGTCAAAGGTTTTTAATTATAAGCATGCAATACCAAGCTAGACTACAGGTAAAGATCTATGATGCTTCAACTGTGTTTGAAGGCTGGTAATATAAAACTCTATGGCAAAAAAGATTTGTTTACACAGAGAAGTCATGGATTTTAAATGTCTTTTGATGCCCTTACTTGTTAGATAGGTATCTTGTAATTAGCTTGATACTTACAGTATCTGCAGGGCTACTTATTTAGTAGCAGAAACATACACATGGTACCATATTAGAAACTAGTTGGGATTTTTTTTTTTCTGCTTTAAAAGGTATTTTTCTTAAAATATGAAAAACTACTATAATATTCAGTGAGATTATTAACTTCATTTAGCTAATTTATAAAAAGTATTCTTTGCCATGAAAAGTATAAAGAAAATGCCTTTCCCTTCCACTTACCCTATACTTCAGAACACCCATGTCTTTAAAAAAATTATAGGCTCATTCTTTATATTGTCTCATTCAGATACAGTCATGATTACAGTTGTAGGCCACATTATATTTAATTGTTTACATTTATCCAACTATCCCAGCACTCGATAATGGATTCTTGTCATGTAATTATTTTACTTAAGACATAGCCTATCATAACTGCTTATTTATGTCTGCCTAGACCAAATAACAAGAATGTTAAGTATCACTAATGTGGCTGGGCAGGGTGGCCATGCCTATAATTCCAGCATTTTAGGAGAACAAGGTGGGCGGATCACTTGAGCTGAGGAGTTCAAGACCAGCCTGGGCAAGATGGTGAAACCCCATCTCTAAGAAAAAATTTTAAATTGAAAATAGTAATAATAATAATTAAGGCAAGCATTAAACAGCTTGTATACACAAAGCCAAGAAATGAAAAAAAAAAAAATACGCATGTCTGCTGCTATGGAGAGTCCCTCAAACGAACGCTTTGCATTACAACTTTTCAGTAATTAGAAATAATGACTGATGATGCATAAAGATCTGCCTTCAATCTCATGTGATTTTAATACCTTTGTTTGGCCAAGTAAACAGAAAATAAATCACAACACTCAATGTTTCTGTATTCAAAATATATTCAAATAGCTCAATTTTTTTTTTGTTTCTGTTCATTTCTACCCAAATTAGACCTTTGTCAGGTGCATTTTTATTCAAGTCCTCTAATACAAATCTGTGGTTAACATGCTTTAAAAAATGATTCAGCAGAGTAACTTACCCTTTGTCTAAAGTCTGAATCAGCATTTGGATTTAGCCCTAATAGAGCCTGTTCATCCATCCTTGCTGCTATACGTGGAGTTTTCTGGCTACAATAGGCTTGCCCTCTGATCCCACAGAAGAATTTATAAACATCTGCCACAAAAAAAAAAGTTGAAAGAAAACATTACTTGAAAAATAAATAAATGCTTATCCCAAATAACATAAGTGGATAAAATCATGCAAAAAAGCTTAAATGTTTAAAGGACTTCTTTTGAAATTTATCTAAATTGCAACTGAAAGTTAAGAGCCTAATTCTCAGAAAAATGGGCCCTGCTAACTACTCCACTAATGTGTAATTTCTAAAAATCTAAAGTATGGCATTAAGGTCCTCAAACTTTATTCTTCAACATCTTTTAATAGGGTATAGAAAGTAATCCTTTTCTACTTTAAATAGAAGTACCTAATTTATGTAGTTTTACTTATCTCCAGTACTTAAAAATGCTATTGTACAACTGCAGTAAGTATAAAAATGTCAAATCCAGGCTTTTATTATAACAGTTTAAGTATAATAATTTGCCTACTTCCAGATACCAATATCACAAAACTTTTTTAAAACATCAGAATGGCTGACCTCAGAGTTCAATATCCTTTGAAGTGTTTACAAAGTACTACAAGAGAAATCTAACGAAAGGAACAAAGTAACGAAAAACCAGTCATTTAGTTTTTAAGCAATGGACTAGTTTTGCATTTTACAGATCTCTGCTCTTGCCAGCCAATTTTAAAAATTTCAAAAAAATGTTTTTCAATAGTAGATACAAAAATCCACAAATGGGCCTGGTGCAGTATCTTGCACCTGTAATCCCAACACTTTGGGAGGCCAAGGCGGGCAGATCACTTAAGGTCAGGAGTTCAAGCCAGCCTGGCCAACATGGTGAAACCTCTTCTCTACTAAAAATACAAAAATCAGCCAGGCATGGTGGTGCACCCCTGCAATCCCAGCTATTCAGGAGGCTGAGGCAGGAGAATCGCTTGAACCTGGGAGGCGGAGTTTGCAGTGAGCCAAGACTGCGCCATTGCACTCCAGTCTGGGCAACACAGCAAGACTCCATCTGGGTTGTGGGGAGGGAGATCCACAAATGACTTAACATGGACACTCTTAAGATTTTTTAATCTCTGAGAAGTAATCCACTTCTTAACAATATAGGTTCTAACATTTTAAAATAATAAGCCCCAAAAAGCACCCTAGCTTTTGATAGAATGTATATTCACGCCGGGCGCGGTGGCTCAAGCCTGTAATCCCAGCACTTTGGGAGGCCGAGGCGGGTGGATCACGAGGTCAAGAGATCGAGACCATCCTGGTCAACAAGGTGAAACCCCGTCTCTACTAAAAATACAAAAAATTAGCTGGGCATGGTGGTGCGTGCCTGTAATCCCAGCTACTCAGGAGGCTGAGGCAGGAGAATTGCCTGAACCCAGGAGGCAGAGGTTGCGGTGAGCCGAGATCGCGCCATTGCACTCCAGCCTGGGTAACAAGAGTGAAACTCTGTCTCAAAAAAAAAAAAAAAAAAAAAAAAAAAAAAAAAAAAAAAAAAAAAAAAAAAAAAAAAAAAAAAAAAAAAAAAAAAAAAAAAAGAATGTATATTCACTTGAGCTAACATGGAACAAACTCTAAATGATATGAAAATGATATTTATTCTCTCAAGACCTCAGAGGTATAGAGACTGGCTATTACTACTTCCATTAATGACTGTGGGGGGCCAGGCATGTTGGCTCACGCTGGTAGTCTCAGCACTTTGAGAGGCCGAGGCAGGAGGATCAACTGAGGTCAGGAGTTCAAGACCAGTCTGGCCAACATGGTGAAACCCCCATCTCTACTAAAAATACAAAAAAAATTAGCTGGGCAATGTAGCACACACCTGTAATCCCAGCTACCTGGATGGCTCAGGCAGGAGATCTGCTTGAACCTGGGAGGCAGAGGTTGCAGTGAGCTGAGATCACGCCACTGCACTCCAGCCTGGGCAGCAGAGGGAGACTGTCTAAAAGAAAAAAAAAAGGCTGTGAGGCTTTTTTTAAATTATCATAGCCAAAGAAGCCAAAAGACTAACTGGGTTAGGGGTAGGGGAAAAAAGCCTTTTGGGAACAGTGAAGTCAGGATCAGAACCAGGTTACAGGATACCTACGACACATTTTTGTGTTTTCCCCTGAGCCTGTCTGAATCAAATGATAAATCAGGATATGGACTCAAGAGCTCTGAAGACAGCTCAGCCCTTTCTCATGGTTCATATCACACTTGCAGACTTCAAGGCAGTGAAACTCCCCACTGCCCTCAGATTACGATCTACTTTTGAATGACTCCTCACTATTCCGTATCCCAGGTCAGCAAGGCCAGTGCTAGTGAACCACATGGCAGTTCTCCAATGGTACTCTACCTTTCATCTTTGCACACTGCTCTTTTTTCTTCTTACTAGGTTAACCCCTGCTGTCCTTTGAAATAATACTTAGAAGACATTTCTTTCAAGAACACTTCTTTGACCCCTATGGTCCCACTCTCCCAAACTGGATTACATGTCCCTGCCAGCTTACTAGTTCTTTTTTTTTTTTTTTTTTTTTGAGACAGTCTCACTCTGTCGCCCAGGCTGGAGTGCAGTGGTGCGATCTTGGCTCATTGCAGCCTCCGGCTCCTGGGTTCAAGTGATTCTTCTGCCTCAGCCTTCCAAGTAGCTGGAATTACAGGGGTTAGCCACCACATCAGCTAATTTTTTAGTAGAGATGGTTTCACCATGTTGTCCAGGCTGGTACTGAACCCCTGACCTCAGGTGCTCTGCCCACCTGGGCCTTCCAAAGTCCTAGGATTACAGGCGTAAGCCACCATGCCCAGGTATCTCTCATAATCTTAAAGGGCAAGGACTGTCTTGACTATTCATCACTATGTCCCTAGGACATAGCAGAACATAGGCTTTGGATTTGAAAGACCTGGTTTGTATCCCCATCTTGTCATTTTTAAATTGGGGCCGCTTGGACAACTTACAAAACCTGAGACAGCCTTTTCTATGACATGGGAAAAAGACCATCTGCGTCATAAAGTTGTAAAGTCTTCAAAGAGATAAGGTATGCAGAGTATGCCTGGCACACAGTGGGCCCTCAATAAGAGCCAGGAACATGGGGGATGGAAACTACTTGGAACATTGTTTTTTTTTTTTTTTTTTTTTTT